TGGTCTCAAAGCCCAGGAAGCAAGAAACGAACTACCTTCTGACCTTGAGCTCTCTGCCTCCACCCTTCCCAATCCCCAACCTTCCCATCCCTGACTGTGAGGAGCTCTAACAGGAGTAGTTTGAACCGTTAGCCGCTAGGTGGTGCCACAACGCAACGATTTAAGCGAACTACGTGCTTTTGACCTTCCTCTCCAGATGAGATTTCTTTTCTTGCTGAAGGTCCAGAGATTTAGCCCAAAGGAAAATCGCAGCTCCAGAATCTGCCAAGTGCGGAAACGTCTTCAGGCAGATCTGAATGATTTTCATGCAGTTGTTTGCTTTTCTGATAGAAAAAAATCGTAACATACAGACTCTAAAGCCGACTGATTTGTCCTTCAGGACTTTGCCCCCTGTCAGGCAGCCTTCTAAGGACGAGCTAGTGCTTGACAAATAGTTGCTAGTCCCTGGACAAATGAGTGAAAACTGTTACAGACATCCCTTCTTCAGCAATGCCCCCAGCAGCTGCCTCTGCAAAGCAGCAGTGTGAGCCCTCCTCAGCCCTGCAGGGTTGGAGGGCAGGAAGCCCAGGCTTGTTGTGCTCTGGGGCAGGCCCTGCACCTCTCCATCCCCAGCATCAAGGCCATACTTAGGGGAATCTCTGTGCTCCCCTCAGTTCTAGCAGTGCCAGCAAGGGCCTTATGCAGGTGACTTCAGTGAGTCCTTGGAGAGCAAGAAAGCCAGACACCCGGCCAGCTAAAGCTAGAAGGCAGGACCCAGGTTTCAGAAGACTCTTCATGGAGCTCCGGCAATGAGTTGGCCTGCTGGGACTTCTCCTCCTAAAGATCCAGGTCACACACTGTTTGTAGGACGGATTTCAGTCTGCATGTGCTGCTCAAGTCTCCCAAAATGAAGGGCCAGAAGAAGTAGTGCCAGGCTTTGTTGCAGCCCTAAACCCTCCTCCCAGACTAGAGGATCGGGGTCTCTAGAATTAATTGCTCAGGTATTAAGGATATTGGCCCAAAAAACCTTACTGGAGGTATTGCAGACTTCAGACTCCAGGAATTGTTTTGGTGGCTTTGGGTCTAGCTTTTGCCATCTGTCCTTCCCAACTGCACACTTCTGGAGCAGAAGGCAGCTGCCAAAAGCAGATGCTTAATGTGTAGGTAGAAGGAGCCCTGAGCCAGAAAACTGGGCAGCCAGACTTTAGCTTATGGGCCTCAGCTTCTTCACATGGGAAACGATAAAACCAATTTCCTGAACACCAAGAAGGTTCCTGGCTTGGCGCAGATACTGAGCAAGGGTGCTTTTTACTCCTTCATGCCCTAGCATGCAGGCAGTGCACCAGAACTGAGCCTTTCTGGGAACATTTGGTTTCCTCTTTCATTCTTTCTTTGAGAGCTCAAGTGACCTGCTCATCCTGCCTTTCAGGTGGACTTAGCAGAAGGGAGAGGCCAGGCCGGGATCCATCTTTTCTCGCTGTGTGGGAACAGCTGGAAAGCCAGGCTCTGACCAAGTAACAATACTGTGCTTTCCCTTCAACCAGAAAGTAAATAAATATTCGAAACCAGTGTTTTCAGACTTGCAGCCACAGACAGTGCAAGACTGACCCCTATAAACAAATGAACCAAGGAGGTGAGTGGGGAGTAGATCCCCAGCAGGGCATCGGGGTGGCCAGGCTAAGGAGACACAGATGGGACATGGGGCAGGAAAAGAGAGAGATACAGATGGGGACCATGCCTGGTTCACGCACTGAATTGAATTAACACCTGCTTAGCAGACAGTGAGTGCACGGGGCTGTTTCCGTCATGAAGGCAACCTCAACCACCCAACCTAGGGGATTCTTCAACACAGGAAGGGTCTCTTGATCCACTATAACCCTGACTGCCTTCATTACAGTCTCCAGACCAAGCCAGATCTTTGATGATTCAAAGAAGGGCACAGGGCTCTGAGAGCCCATCACACCTCACTTGATCTACTTCCATAAACATTTTAAGTTCACAAAGTAATGTTCTTTCTGAGCGTCTACTATGCCCCAGACCCTGGTAGATATTATACAATTTAATGTGGGTCCTTTATAATAGTTCTGTTGTATATATAGTGCCTTCTTTACCTTTCTAAAAAAAAAAATTACACAACACACATATGACATTGTGATTTATAATAAAAAGTATAACTTTTCTCTCCATCCCTGATTTAGGAACAGAGCTCCTAAAAACCTTGGAATTTCCCTAAGTGATAAGAATGATAAATGTGTCTATTCATAACAAACCCATTGCAACCACACTCGAGTTTATGTGAATGAGGTAACTCTTGGAAAGCACCTCAGGACTGGGCTGGTTCCAGGGGAACCAACTTCATGAATAGGGACTTTCAGCCCCACCCCACCCCCAATCTCTGAGGAGGAAGAGCTTGGGTTGAACAGATGGCCAATGGCTGATAATTTAATCAATGGTGTCTATGTAATGAAGCCTCCATAAAAACCCTAAAGGACAGAGTCCAGGAACTTCTAGGTTGAAAATTCTGGGACAGTTATTGACACTGGAAAGGCATGGAAGCTCCTCACCCTTTCCCATATACCTTGCCTTGTGCATCTGTTCCAAGTGGCTATTCCTGATTCATATCCTTTTGTAATAAACTCATTATCTAGTAAGTGAAATGTTTCTCAGAGTTCTGTGAGCCACCCTAGCAAATTACTCAAACCCAGAGATGGGATCAGTGGAACCTTCAGTCCATAGCAAAGGTGAGAGTCTGGACTTATAACTGGTGTCTGAGGTGGGACTGTATCCTTAACCTTGTGGGATCTGTCTCCAGGTAGACAGTGTCAGAATTGGGTTGAATTATAGGGCACCCAACTGGTGTTGGAGACTGGCTTGGTGGTGTGAGGAGAAAAAACACACAACAAAATTGGTGTCACATAGTTAACATGAATTCATTTCTTATAGAAAAAAAGAAAACAGAAGTATATAGAACACAAAATTAAAGCGACCTTACCCAGACTCAGTGTCCAATCGTGTATCTGTCCCTGAGTGTGCATATGATAGAAGAAGAATGATTTTACATATTTAATTCGTCTTCTTAAGAAAGTTCTGCTTGGCTTTGTGGGCTGGAAAATCATTTCCAAAGGAGTATCACTTTGCTGCTTGCATTAGTTTTCCTAAAACATGCAAAGACTGGAGGTAGCATGATGGCAATTCAAAGAGTTCTAAAAAGAGAGATTAAATTTTAAAGAATGTCATGACTCATCCTGTTGATTTTGTTAAAAACCAAACTAAATGTTTTTCTTAATGTGTGGGAAAGAGAGTCAGCATCTGTCACTAGTAAAAAGCATCAGAAAAAAATAGAATGGAGAGGAATGACAAGAAGCACAGCAAGCCCAAAAGTTTAGAAACACCCCAGATATTACGCCTTTTCGATAAATCATACACCATAAAACACAAACCATAGGACACTTGAAGAAAACCAACAGCACAAAATAAAAGGACCAAATACAGGAAACAGATTGTGTGGTGGTAGTCACTGTATGATGCTTGTTGCAAGATTATTAGAAGTTGATAATCAGTAGTTTGCGGGGGGCTGGGGGGGACCCTGAAAACAGAGGAAATGTATATATATGGGGAAGTGGTTTCATAATAAATTAAGATATCTGGATAGCCTATTTTTTGTTTTGCATTATGATGGTCTATTCATTTATAACACACCTCCACAAAAGCTTATTGGTTTATAACAATAAGCATCATTCATTTTGCTCATTTTGCGTTTGGTGGGGGCATGCCAGGAACAATCTATCCTTATTCTGTGCAACATCAGCAGCTCTTCTGGAAGGCTCCGAAGATCACTCACTCCCATGGTTAGGGAGTTGGTACTAACTCGTGGCTGGATGCTTACCCAGGTCGTGCGTGGGAACATCAGATCTTCACATGGGTCTTTCCATAGAGTTGTTTGGCCTTCCTTATAGCACAGTGCCGGAGTTCTAAGAGATTAAAGTGGAAGCCTTATTTTCTTATTAAAGGTGTTTGTTTGTTTGTTTGTTTGTTTGTTTTAATAACAGAGAGAGATAGTGAGGGGGAACACAAACACGGGGGGAGCTAGAGACAGAGAAGCAATCTCCCCACCCCGCAGGGAGCCTGACATGGGGCTCAATCCCAGAACCCTGGGATCATGACCTGAGCTGAAGGCAGACACTTAAAGACTGAGCCACCCAGGTGCCTCTAAAGTGGAAGCTTTAAACAGCATGACTTTTGCCTCAATCTATAGATTAGGCAAGTCAGCAACTCTAGCCCGATGTTGTGGAAAGAGACATTACATTTCATCACTCACTGAAAGGATTAGCAAAGAATTTATAACATTCTTTAATCTGCCACATTATAGAATAGTATTCTATTGAAATGAATTAATTCTATATGTACTCACCATACCCTAATTGAGAAGAAAAGCAAGTTGAAATTTTGATTTAATCCCATTTGTGTAAAAAATTGGGGGAGAGGGCTATAAATATTTTGGGTTTTTTGGCTGGTCTGAGAATAGTGAAAGCATGGATAACCACAGACAGGACTGGGAAGGGAAAGGAAGAGAGAATCATTAGCTTCTCCTTTTTAAACACCTGTACTTGATTTGTTGCCATTAGATTATGTCACTTTGGGATACTTATTTTAAATGGTATCATTTTGTTGTTGCTTTGTTTTACTTTATTTTGTTTCATTTCTGGAATGCAGAAGGCTGATACCTTTGTGCCTATTGACCTTGTATCCTGTATTTTGGGTATTTGCTGTTGACAGTGGATCTTGTTGAAGTCAGTCAGTTGGCTGCCGCAGAGGAAGAGACCAAGGCTACAGCTGGCCTGGCAGTGGATGTGACTGCTTCAAGTTTTTTTGTTTTTGTTTTTGTTTTTTCCCACTCTTACCCAGCATTTCTTTATTAGTTCACTGGCCCAGCTCTGCTGCAGAGGGGGAAGGGGAGGCCAGGGTCCTCCGGCAGCGGCCTCTGGACGCAAGCCAAGGGCAGTCTATAGCGGGCGTCCTTCTCAGGGGCAGCTGGTCCTCTGAACCTTCTTGATTTCCTCGGCCAGCGCCTCCTCCAGGGTCTGGTAGGCCGTGCCCAGGTTGTCGTTGATGATGACCAGGTCGAACAGGCCCTGTTCCTTGCTGCTCTCCAGGTCCACCCGAGCGGAGGCCAGACGCTTGGCCAAGCTCTCCTCTGTCTCCGTGTTGCGCCGCCGCAGCCGCTGCTCCAGGACGTCCAGCGAGGGCGGCTGCACGAAGATGTAGATGGGCCGTAGGTCCGTCTTCCTGATGTCACGCACACCCTGCAGGTTGACGTCCAGCACGCAGATGCGGTTCCTGGCCTGAACGGCCTGCACAGCTGCTTTGATAGTCCCATCCAGGTTCCCCGAGAACTCCGCGTGCTCGATGAAGCCGCCTTCGGCCATGTCCCGCTGCATCACCTCCCTGCTCACAAAGTAGTAATCTTTGCCATTCTCTTCTCCAGACCACGCGTCCCTCGTGGTATGGGACACGCTGAACCCGAAGACACTGCGGTGCTCCTGCAGGAGTTCTCTTGAACAGGGTGCTCTCCTGGCCCCTGAGAGTCCACTCAGCTGAACAGGCCAAGGTCCTGACATCCCTGAATGAACGAAGGGGGCTCCCTCTCACTGTTCTCTAAACAGCTCCAGTTACATCAAGGGAGGGAGGGCACATTTGCTATGACCAACTTCCTACTCCCAGTCCACCAGAGAAAGCAGAATGTGAGCAACATGTGAGAATTTAGGGCATGCTGCATGTTGACACATTTGCCACGATGGGCATTCTAGAACCATGAGGCATTTGAGGGGACAGATACTAAATGGTCATCTGGGTCAATATTGGCTGAACAAGAACATCTGCACGTGCTCACAATTGCAGATTTGTTTCCCCTCTCCATTTTGGTGACCAATAATCCTACTATAAATGTATTTAGGTTTTTGCAGTTCACAGTATATTAATATGTTGGAGTACTACATAAATTTTCCTAAGTCAAAACAGCATCTATTACCTTGGTTTAAAAATAATTTTCTAAATTTATTAATTCTAGGAGTACTTTTGTATAGTCCTTGGAATTTTCTACATAGGCAATTATATCATCTGCAAACGCAGAAAGCTGTATTTCTTCCTTTTCAATATATTTGCCTTGTAGTTCTTTTTCTTGTCTTCTTGCACTGGCTAAGACTTCTAGTACAAGGCTGAATAGAAGTTGTGAGAGTGGACATCCTTGCCTTGTACCCAATCTCAGGGATAAAGCACTCAGTCTCTCACCATTAAGGATGATTTTTAGGGCACCTGGGTGGCTCAGTCAATTAAGTGTCCAGCTCTTGATTTTGGCTGAGGTCATGATCTCAGGGTCATGAGATCGCTTCCCACATCTAGCTTCATGCTCTGTGTGGAGCCTACTTAAGATTCTCTCTGTCTGTCTCTCTCTTTCTCTCCCTCCCTCCGTCTGCCCCTCCCCCCCACACTCTCCTTCCCTCTTAAAAAATGATTTGCATGATAATCTTTTATTTCATTGTTCAGATGTTCCTTTTTATGGTTTCTGTTATCCAGCCCTGTCCTACATCAAGAGTTGAACATATCCTCACTTGTCATCTTGTGAGATCTTATGATCTTATATTGTGATTTTTCACAATTCTGCCTCAGAAGACAGGTAGTTCTTGGGATGCAAAGCCCATGTGGTTTCCAGGTCTCTCCAGGTCCTTTTAACATTCAAAAACACATTCACCGAATAAGTCTTGTAACTAACTAAGGAAAAAGGACAAAGGAAAGGATGTATGAAGAAGGATTGAGAAAAGTTTCCCAAGCCAGGAAACCATCTTTATTTTTAATACCACCCATCCAAACTTGCTGTTGGAAGTTCTATTTTGTCTGCTGGTCTATTTACAGATCTGCCTTCCTACTTATGCTGAAAAATTCTGGCTGCCATCATCTCTAACCAGTTAAACCATGGTAGCCTTCTTACTGGGCATCCAACTTCTAATCTGAGGTGCTCAACAGCCTTAGAAGGATCTTTATAAACATAAATCTTGTTGTTTTACTCTTTTATTGAAATTCACTTAACTGCTTCCTTTGGGTCTCAGAATAAAGACTAAACATCCTTCTGTGGCTCCCGAGGCCATTTGTGGTCTTTCTATCCTAATATCCATCTCTATCTCCCTGACTCCCTGTGCACTTTATGCTCAAGTCATTCAGAAATACTTTCTGTGTTAGTTTCCCACAGCTTCTGTAATGAATTGCCACAAACAGTGTGGCTTAAAACAACAGAAATTCATTATCTCGTTTCAGGAGGCCAGAAGTCTGAAATCAAAGTGTCAGCAGCATTGGCTCTGAGGGACAGCCTGTTCCAGGATTCTTTCCTAAGCCTGGTGGTTGCTGGTCATGCTTGACTTTCCTTGGTTTGTAGCTGCACCTCTCCAATCTCTGTTCACGTTTTCCCATGCCTCCCTCACTCTGTGTCTGCGGGTCCCCATAGCCCTTTCTCCATAGAAGGACACCAGTCACTGAATTTAGGGTTCACCCTAACATAGCATGACCTTGTCATAACTAATTACACCTGTAGAGGCCCTATTTCCAAATATGGTAACATTCTGAGTTGCTGAGTAGACATGAATTTTGGAAGTACTACTTTAATCACTGTATGTTCTTCTCAACAAATAAATTGGGTTCACTCTGCCTTCAGGTTATTTCCATTAGTTCTCCCTTCTCACTCCACTTGGCCTTCAGCTTTTCTTCACTTTTAAATGTCTGTTTTAGAGAGACTCTACCTGCTTTGATGTTTAATTGTATGTGTCATTCTCACTGTGCCATGAAGTATCCAAATATTTGGTCAAACAATATTTTGGGTCAGTCTTTGAGGGTCTTTCTGGTTGAGGTTAACATTTGAATTGGTAGGCTGAGTAAAGCAGATTGTCCTCCCTAGTGTGGGCCTCATCTAATTAGTTGAAGGTCTGAATAGAGGAAAAATACTAACCCTCCCTCTAGTAGGAGGGAGTTCAGTTCCTCTTGCCTAACTGCCTTCACCTGCGACATAAATCTTTTTCTTGTCTTCACACTTGAATTGAAACATTAGTTCTTGGAACTATCCCATCAACACATCTATGTCTCCAGCTTGCCAACTGTAGCTCTTGTGACTTATCAGCCTTCATAATTATGTGAGCCAATTCTTTATGATATAGTTGATATAAATGATATAGATAGATAGATAGATAGATGCATGATATCATAGTCATTGCTAGATATTCAATTCCTAGTATATTCAATATATGTTGAATAAAGGTTTCCCTTTTAAGATAACTGGTTGAATATCTTCTTCCATTCCACCTCTCTAAAAATGAATAAAAGATAAAAAGTGATTTATAAAATTGTATAAAAACAGTAATGGTTGTAAGTTCTGTTGGTCATAATAGACTAGGTAATTTTCTGATCAATACTCTAGAAAAGTTTTCTAAAAACTGGATAAAATATTTTTTAAACATCTTCCTGAGACCCTGTCTCTGGAAAGATGGTACAGATGTAATCTTCCAGATTTTTCCCACTAAGTACAACTAAACACCCTGGATATTTTATGTTAACAAACATAAGATTCTGAAAGGTGGAGAGAAGACAGATGTGTTAGGAATATCAGGACTAAGAAAACAATATGATTGTGAATTTGCTGGAATTTCTTTATGTTGTATATCAAAGGTTTGGAGATCATGAAGCTGGCAACCCAGAAACACCAAAGGGTTTTAGTGAAAAAATACAAAGGGTGAAAAAAAGAAAAAAAAATTACAATAAAAGTCTTCTCTCTAGCCAAAGGTTCAGGAAAGAATGAGCCAACAAGATAGAAAACTTTAAGGCAAAATCACTCAGTTCTAGACACATATAACAGAAGAGACTGTGGCCTTACCACATCTACACCAGTAAAGGCTGAGGGGGAAGTCTAGACTTCCATTCTCACCAGGCTATAATGAGGTGCTAAATTTTCCTTCCCAACACCAGCCTGGTGTTCGAAGGACAGAGTAGGGAGTTGGAACTTCCATCTCCAGGGAATAAATAGTGCCTTACCCCTTGTGGGGTCAATGGGGAGCATGTGGAGAGCCTGGATTTCCACTCGCATCTGGTGGTGATGAGGTCTTCACCCACTCTGAGATGCCTGAGAGGAGGCTTGGTGGAGAGTCAGAATTTTCATCAACACCCAGGCATAAGGTCACTCCCCACTGGTGTCAGTGGGGGGCCACATCAGGAAGAGAGAAGAGGTACTCATCCCTACCAACCAGGATGATTTCAGTGGAGGCTACTGACCCAATGAACCTGCAGTGATGAAAAGTCTCTTCCCTACTTGACTATTACCAGAAGCCAAGTAAGGGACCTGGACTTAGAGCCACTAACTGCAGCAAGGCAAATCCTTGTCATTCCCCTACCAAAGGCATGTCAATCGAATCCATCTGAAAGAGAGGGTTTATTTTTTATATATTTTATTTATTTATCTGAAAGAAACAGAGATAATGACAGCATGAGCACGGAGGAGAGGGAGAAGCAGGTTCCCCACTGAGCAGGGAGCATGATACAGGACTCCATCTCAGGACCCTTGAATCATGACCCGAGCCAAAAGCACATGCTTAACTGACTGAGCCACCCAGGCACCCAATAGGGTTTAGATAAGACCTAGACTCTCATAATACACTACCCAAAGTGACCAGTTTTCATTTAAATAAGATTAGTTGTACCAATATTCAAGAAAATAAAAATCTGAGTGAAAGAAAGGACAATCAACACGTGCTAACACTTAGATAATGCAGAAGTTAAGATTACCTGACAGATACTTTAAAGCAGGCATTATAGAAATGTTTCCAGCTACAAATGTTCTTGAAACCAAAGAAAGAAGCAGGAAATAGAATGGCTCAGTGAAGGAATAGAATATATAAAGGAGAACCAAATGAAAATTTTAGAAAACAAAATACAATAATCAAAATAAGAAAAATAAAACTCAGTGGGCAGTCTCAACACCATGTAGAAGTGAACAGAAAAAAAGAATCAATGAACTTGAATATGAATAATGGATATTACCCATTCTGAATAACAGAGAGAAAATACGCTATTAAAAAGGCAATAGAGGGGTGCCTGGGTGGCTCAGTGGGTTAGGCCTCTGCCTTCGGCTCAGATCATGATCTCAGGGTCCTGGGATCGAGCCCCACATCGGGCTCTCTGCTCACTCAGGGAGTCTGTTTCCCTCTCTCTCTGCCTGCCTCTCTGTCTACTTATGATTTCTCTCTCTGTCAAATAGATAAATAAAATCTTTAAAAAATAAATAAATAAATAAATAATAAAAATAAATAAAAATTAAAAAAAAAAAAAAGGCAATAGAAACCTCACAGAGTTGTGGGACCATAACAAAAATCTAATATTTATGTCATCACAGTACTGGAAGAAAAAGGAGAAAAACAGTGGAACTGAAAAATAATTCAAAGAATTATGGATAAAAATTTTCAAAAGTTGGTAGAAAGGGCATTTAGGTGGCTCAGTCGGTTGAGCCTCTGCCTTTGGCTCAGGTCATGATCCCAAGGATCTTGGAATCAAACCCCTGTCAGGGGTCCTTGCTCAATGGGGAACCCGC